TCTATGCGGAATTTTGGATCAGTGCCTAATGGCATTATGGGTATGGTTAAAACAAGTGTCCACATCTCAAGTTGAAATTGTCAAGCAGATGTCTTCAATCAAGGCTTTGGTATACATATATCCTGAGCTTAAATACATGTGCTTGCCAAACAACACTCAGCACCCACCTCCCAAATCTCCAACACACCAGATGGCAACTGTCACTCCCGATGTTCAGTTTCTTGAATTATTTGGCCTTAACAACCTGTTGGACATTGTAACGGTGCTGGTGTCCTCCATGTTTTTTGGTGGGCCCTTGTTTTTTCAGAGAAAACTGCATCATACCAATTTCACCACCACCACTAGGTGCCTTCATGGTCTTGCTTTTTATGGCTATCCTGATTCTATGGTATATTCTATCTTCCCTTTTCTCTATCTATCCGTTTAAAATCCTGCTGCACAGCAATAGAGAGGGCAAGAGGAGTGCAAGAATAGGACTTCTGCTGGCCATAATAGCAATGTTTATACTGTCAGGGTTTCACTTCTGGAGTGACACAGCACTTTTCATGGCTAGTATCAAGAGTGTCCTTGTTGATGACATTGAGGAATCTTTTGCTGCCAAGCATACAATATTTGTTCACAAGGTCAAACGACTCAATGATCTGGTGGATGTTGTACTTCCTCTAGAGGTTAGGAAATTCAGAACTATACTCTTCCAATGAACAAACTCATATCCAATCTAGATTATAATTGGAGACTCCATTGTCTTGTGGAGAGCTTGGGCACTGCGTGGTGCCAGTCATAAGCTTGTTTATATTGCTCTCCTGTGCCTAGTAGGAACATCCGGTCAGTGAAATCATCTGCTTTACATCATCTCTCTCACAAATGTCAACTACAGCATGCTCGTTCGCCTATATTGGATGTTATGCACAGAATAATTGGCCTTCTCAACCCCCCGATACATGTATATCAATTGAGATTGCTGCGCTCACTCTATCAGTGGCTACAAACATATTTGGAACACTTGTTATCGGCTATACTCTCTGGTCTGTGGAGCTATTGAGACTCGGAGAGGTTATAATTCGACTAAAGTGTCGACAGGTTCTATCGTCAAGCTGTTGAAAAATACCTTAAAGAGTGCAAACATAAAGTACGGGCTGAAAAAATCCTTGTGCTACTTCTTGAAAGTGGTTGTATCTATTCAATTCTCTGGGTAAAAATCAGCAAGCAACTACCAGATGCAATAAACTTTCTAATGGTTATTTAGGCTGTAGAGCTTATTCTACTGCTTGTTCCCTCTCCACCAACCTTTGCTGGGAAAATTGTTCAACAAATTGTTACTGCTGCAAGTGTTCAGTTGGTGGTATGTGTAGTTACTTTTACTCTTGATGATATTGAGTTCACCTTTACAAACAGGGCATATATCCCACCCTTTTAGTAGTACTGGCTTATCTACAGCGTTCAATGTTGGACTCGTGTAACGTAGTGTGCAGTTTACAGAGGGAAGCTACTAGTCACAGTAGCGACATCCAAGATCAAGATTTTGTATCCACACCTGGGCTGGGACACACCTTTGCCTAGTACAAATACAGATGATCAGAGTGTGGTGACCATGTAATTCCATCCCTCCACCTCTGGCTCACCTCACATTGTACGTTCTCCTTCACAATTTGCACATTCTTCCAAGATACTCATTCACACCTTGGATACTTCATTCCCTTTATCTTGACTCTTTACTGGTGCAGAACACTCCAACTGATATGTAGCAGAAAATACCTAGATTTGCTGCATAATATACATATACCACCGATACCATGAAGTTCATTCACCTATTCATTCTGCTACTTAGCCCACTGCACTACCAACGTCTCTCATGTGGATCAAACTGCAATAATTTAGGAGATAAATATCCACTTTAGGTAAAAACATTGCCAACGGAATGGACGCGAACGGAACCTATTTAACATGGTGTTGCCCCCTCAAGGAAAAATCTCTACATCTCGTTTTTTAACATCCGAGGCAAGACCTAGGCCCAGAATACTAGAGAGTAGGGCATCATTTACACTCCTACAGTGGACCGTCGTTCTTTGGACAAGAATGCTTCCATCCTCTCCGAATCGGGCCGTCCTAAATCGATATATGTGTAGAAAAGTCGTTTTCTAGCATCTTCTCTGGTTGATAGCGTCGAGTGCAATATCAAGGATGACCTTCAGGTTTTTGTCGACAGCGATGTCAGGTACGGTTACCAAGGATGAAGGTCGAATGTTGTAGATTCAAAGTCGGAAGGAAAATGAAAATAAACGGGGTAATGCTCACGCTTTGGAAGGAGACGGTAAAAAAGGCCACCACTCAATTCCCATATGACTTTTCATCCGGAATAGATGTTTTCCGTTGAGAATGGCATTGGGTCTCAACAGCCATTACAATCCTCGTAGTATGTTTGAGGTTAAACGAGAACCGTGTGGGGATCTTTGAGTAAAGAATAGCTGGGAGGTGGATTGAAATTTGAGACTAGGTTCAGATCGTCGTCCCTTTACGAGTACCTATATGCATATGCATGGGAGTTTGCCGACCGCAACTGTTCTTTTCCAGCTCCCAAACTTCAATTGGAGGTTACGATAGGATTTTTACGGCCCACTCACAGACCTTGTGAAGAACTGAAGAGCAGAGAAATCAAGTTGAGGTCTGTCGATAGAAAGCGAAAGCGCACCGTGATACCAACATTCCAAGATTGCCCATCTCAAAGTCATCCGATCGCTTGGGCGCCCTCTACACGACTAGTAGATCATAAGTGCTCTGAGTGTCGAGCGATAATCCCAACAAATAAAATTCTTGAGCGTGAGACTCGCTGATCTGGCCGACGATGGTGAGAGCTGTTTCGAGACGTGCGAAAGGCTATACACCTGGGTCCGAACCGGGCCGTCGGTGTTTTTGACCTCCGTTGCCGCTTTGACAGTTTGACGTGTTGTTTACCTCCTGTTTGACATCACTCTCCTGCCCCTTCACTGGAATTTTCATGTTACTCTGACTGCAGCTGGTACGTTTGTCAATCATTTTTCTGATCAATCGTTGGTTTTGATTGATCTATCATTGTCGACATCAACGTTTCAACAGGCAGACACGACACATCACACCACACGACTCTCTTTCGTTCGCTCGTTATCCCAACCAACGCCAGTCTTTTCTCGAGTCTCGACCGACCCTGGAATGTCGTCAAACCTATCAACGACAACAGCAACAGCAACCTCAACAGCACGCCCAGTAGAGCCTTCTGACCGACGCTTAGTAGTCGCAGGCGTAACACTAGGTCTCATAGGTCTCATAGCCGTCTCAATCATCCTCTACTGGACATTCCATCTCAAAGTTCCAGGCTCAGTACCCACCCTATCTGACCCCGAAGCTTATCCATCTTCAAAAGATAAATCATCACCACCGAGCTCTTCGGCCGCGAAAGGAAAGGGGGCAGGAGGTCTAGTCCGAAAAGCCACCAAAACCCTTCACTCCTTCAACAACCACACTCTCAACGCTTTGGATGCTTTGGGTGGGAATGCGAGATACAAAAAAACGGATTACAACTCCTCTGCCAAAATCACGCCTTTTGGTGCTTCGAACGACGAGGAAACTCCGGATGGGCATAAGCCCAAGTTTATACATATTCCAGGACAGAATATGAGGATTGCTACCCGAATGCCGAATGGCGCTTGGACGTTTAGTGAGCCGGATGCGAGGACCAATAGGAGGAGTGCCGCTTGGAGTACGTTTGGGTTGGGAGGTGATGCAAGTGGAAGCGGGAATGGAGGGAATGTCACGAGGCAGAGGCAGAGTACATTTGGATTTGGCCATGGAGGGGGTAATGGCAATGGAAGCATCTGTGGTACCGGTGGATATAGAGGGATAGACGCATCTTCTGTTTCACAGGTCTCTCCAACCACCTCGTCGTTTTTCTCTCATAAGCCCAGGTTCCTGGGTGGACCTGGTTACGGCTACGCAAGAGCAAACGGTGCAGCAGACTCGTCCTTATCTGGTAACACTCAAGGCTTTAGAATGCCTTCGTCACCATCACCTTCGTCAGCACACAGCCATTCCCATTCGCCGTTTATCAAGCATGAACTTCGGAATTATGATCTTGGATTGGGGCCTGTCACGCTTTCGCCCGAGGCGGAACACGAAAATCCGTTCGACTCGCCTTTGCCTATTACTCCTATAACTTCGGATTCGCATACAACGACTTCGACTACCTATGCACTACGGAGGAAGAAGGAGGAAGAAGCTTCGTATGGGTTCACGGAACGGGATATTGATCCTCCTCCGCCTGCATATACAGAGAGGAATAGGATTGGAAGTAAGGAATTTGTATGACCTTTTTTCGTTTGTTATGCGCTAGGTTCCGTCTCCGTCCCCGAGTTTGCTCCACTCTCTCTGCTACCTCCGCTGTCTACCCCCTACTCTCCGCTGTCCACTCTGTACGAACCTCCTCTGTCGTTCTTGGTTGTTTCGGTTTGCCTCCTTTCCTTTTTCTTGGCCATCATATCATTTACATCCGTCATCCCTATCTATCGGTTTACAATCTGTTTATCCATATATGCCCTCTATGCTCGTTCATCTTTTCAATCTTATGTATGTTTCATCTCGCTTCATCTTTCTTTTTACTTTACTCGCATTGCATTACCCGTTATCGTGTTCATTTTTCCCGTTCTCCCCCCTACGTCTTGCACGTTCAACTATTTTTATTCTTTTTTAAAAACCTCCCTTTTACGGTTGTCAATGCACACGCATACGTACGGCTACGGTGTTTCCGTACAAACTATTCCATCCATTTCTGTAGAAATTCAACATTTTGGGGCTTCATGGTTTATTTTCAGGTTTTCTACGTTCGTCGTCATTCCATACATTCACATCGTACATCTCACTAAGCTGCATACGACCGTCGTTTGGTAATTATGCTGAATGTCATAGACGTATGCAAAGGAACGGATGAGACGAGAGAGGGAAAAAAATGTAACAGTACAAGTACACGGTATCTCCCTGGCTGGGAGTCGAACCCAGCTTTCGCGCGTTAACCTGTGGACATACGGCATGACAGGCGCGTGTACTAACCGATATACTACCAGGGAATTACTTCAGCTCTCGCAGTAAGTACCATATCATATACCTTCCGGGTGTTTATCATGGCGGCGCGTTTTTATTATTACTATTATTGCTTTTCTTGCGCGGGAAAATTCGATTATCCATTATCGTTACCACTACTTACCACCGACTACCAGCGACCTTTGGACTTCGCGATTTGAGGTCCGCGGCGGGTTCTCGCTCCCAACCTCAGAGGATGTCGGCTCAGGAAAGAGCAGCTCGTGTAGCGTTCTTAGTAGCTAAGTTAGGTGGGGACAGCCGACTAATAAGTTACAGCTACGCATGCCGTCGTAAGTTTCGTTGAGTTTTTCTTTTTTCTACTTTTTTTTTCTCCTCCTTGGTTCTGACCTTTTACCTCTACGTTTCGTAGTCTGAAATATCACACAGTGTACGCTGAGGAACAAGATTGAAGACCGTGGCTTACTGATTGATGCTCCGTTGAATCGTTTCTTCAACGATGCCGATGCAGTTTACATTTTTACTCGACAGTGGACAACGGCCCATATGTGGAGCCGATTTCTCGATTTCAGCCGTGGCGGAGGCGGTCGTCGACGGAGGTTGACTTGAGAGAAGCAGGAAAGTGGAGGTATACTAGGCATCATAGTTATACAAGGTACGAGTTTTTTCAAGGATATCGTTGAACTGATGGTCGGGTATAACTCTCTCGTCCCCAGGATTAGGATTTTTATGCAAGCCCTTCGACATTCATTTGCCCCTCCACATTGACAAAGAACCTGGGCTTTCTTCCCCTCCCCTTGGCCCACATAAAGTAGAACAAACGACCAGTCCTCAAGTCTCTTCTTTCGATGAATGAGAGCCATTACTCAGGTGAAAGCTGGATGGATTAATGTTTGGTGTGCTGCCTGTAACAAGCTGTAATCTTGGACGTACTTGTTTGCAGTTTCTCTTCGTTTGAGTAACATTAAGAGCTCCATACGCATTGGATATGGAAGTGAAGGTGAGGTGTAGTATTCTATATGGGAACTCGAAAAGGGAATTTGATACTTTGACGGAGAAATCCGTTGGGCTTTCTTTTTACTTCCCGTTATGGAGTACTAGCTTCGTCACTTTTCTCTTTCCAGACCTTGGGGATTTTACCTCTGTTGGTTGGAGTCGTTCAGCGCAGGACCCGATGGATGGATACTGCAGAGTCGAGACCCACCGTTCCAACCAAAGGCGCTCCTCTGGGCATATTGACCTCAGCCTTTTGACGCGGGAGGTATAGGTAGATGTTGCAGTCACAAGGAAGTGGTTTTCGAAGTGAGTCCCAAACCGGGAATGCTAATACGCAACAGCGTGTCAATATGACAGGTCGTTGAAGACAGCAGACAGCAAGAAAGCTCACGCAATATCCCTTCATTCACAAGATATAATCTCTTTTTTGGCGAAATTCCGATGAGTATTATATCTGTCCGTTCGATTCCACGATCGGCGTTGAAGGATGAGAAGAATTTGCCCAACGTAACCTCGCATTCGGTACCGTCATTGATCTCACGAAATTCTTGGATATTTCTCTTCATTTCCATCCCTGGTAAGGGTCTGTGAAAGTATTCGATCGGAGACCGAAGCTCGCTATTCACAATCCGGCGAGCGTCAAATACAGGATTCTCACTTCTCAAGTGTCTCTTACTCGTTACACTTATGTAGCCCCTTCACGCGTCGACCTCGTATTGAAGGAAGCGACCGGGTCCCTCTCGCCTAAATCTATGCCTACGATTACGACCTGACCTTAGACTCAGGCAATTGCGGAATCTTTCCTAACAGCGTATACTCCCCGTTCACCTTCCCACTCTCCTTTACCAGCGGGTTCGGAGTTCCAGCTGGAGTGGGAAGATGAAGCGCTAGCAGGTCTGGTCGGGAACTAAATGATTGTGCTTTTCGTTAGATGTAAGGAACCACAGGAAGAGAGATGGCAGGCGACGTACTAGTGCCCCACAGGATCAACGCTCAACTTGGCAACAAGTAGATCGTCTAGGTCAATATCAGCATAAAGTATTGTTTCTTCTCCCGGCTCAATGTGTGGAGTTAGTTGTCTTCCGTCAGGGCCGTATATCGCCGCAAAACCTCCTCCTTTCTATGATCCCGAACATTGAGCACATACAAGTCATTCTATAAATGGGAGACTGATCGACTCACAATCGGGTTGAGTGGCGTTCCCTCGATCCTGCATCAATTGTACGCTCACTGTCAGTGCATTCCAGAGAGAAAATGATCCCGCTTCGGACTCACCCACATAACCCCGCGTTCTGTGGTGTGATCATTTGTGTGCTTGAAATGACAAACATGGGACCTTCCATAGCTGCAAACCTCGTCGCCGTCACTTGGAAATCACTAGCAAACTGCGGTGGAGCCCCATTTACCGCGATGGATTCGGCATCGAAATTGAACGGCCATGAAGCGATGTGTATTTGGACACCCTGAGAGTAATGATAGAAGCGGAGGAGGGGTTGAAGGTGTTCCCTGGAAAACGAATGAGATCGATCGAGCGAGTCGAGGCAACCATCATTTGAGAAGATAACAGATAGGAATACAAAAAATGGACTCGGGAGGACCGCGACAGAGATCAAAACGCTCACCAACAGTTCAGGCATCCGATAACTACGCCTTCGGGACCACGCACTGCCGTTGTGAGCGAATCAGCTACGATCGTTACAGGCGTTACGTCAGTTGAGAATCAGGCGACTCGGATAGCTTCAGCACACATACCAGGCCCATCGCCCCAGATCGTACGTTCATGACTAGTGGCCTTGAGTTTTCTTCTATGTAGAACAACCTTCCCGCTCGAATCAATAATACTCTGCGCAGCGTACATGCTCTCTCCATCGCGCTCGACGAAACCTAATACTATCCTATCAAATGTGGCGCACTCGCATCAGGGCCTTATTCAAATTGGTGGGTGAAGAAAGGAAAGGCATCACTCACCAAATTCCAGCTTCTCTGACAACCCTTAGAATCCTTTGATATTCCTCGCTCTTCACATCCAAACAAGACTTTAGGAAGTCTTTGAAAAAGACAGGATTCCAAGGCTCCGAAAACAATCGCATTGGATAGCCCGGAATGTAGGCTTCAGGAAATCCGACGAGTTGGGCACCGTTCGAAGAGGCTTCCTTGATGATGGATATGGCTTTGCTGACTCCGGCTTCGAGATTGAACCATGCTGGTTCGGATTGAATGGCTGCGACTCTGAGGCAAGATAAGGGAAAGAAGGCGAAATGGAAAGACGAAGTGAGACGTACTTCATGGTTGGAAGTATGAATCGAAAATCCACAGAGAATCGGGCGAACTTTTGGGGAGTTGAAATCAACGTTGCGACTTGGACCGGGAGGAAGAGCCAACAGGTGAAGGGTACCAAGGTAAATCAGATAACCTGTACCTTGCCGGTACGGCCAGGTACACACCAGCCTGAGATGATGAACTGGGATAACGATTCAACCCAGTGAGTGTCTGATAGTGAACAACTCCACGTTCGGAACCGACTATTCATGGAGCTGAAGGAAGAAGACTGTAGGCCGAGTAAGGGAGTGTCAAACCGTTATGCCGAAAGCTCCGTAGTGGCCCGCTGCGGGATCGAGAAAGTGAACTCAGGTCAATTTATGCTCCAGACACGGCCAAGTGAGCTAGTGCTCAGTGTTGCAGGAAGCAGAGATCTTTTTCGAATTCGCTGGAACGATCGTCATGGCACAGGGACTCAGAGACAGCAAATAAAACTTTGTCTTAGTGATCATGAGTCACTGATTCAGTAGGGGACCAAGTTATAATACTTAAGGAACGCTCTGCTATAACAATTTCTGTTCATTGGTAACTGTTTCAGGCTGTACATGTGTCCGTTGAATCGAAATATAAGATCTCTACACTATCTCCATTGCTAATTTTTATTAGTTGTTTGCTGAGCAGTCCTACCAGAATTCTCTGTCAATAGTGTTAAAGAAAGTTGAAGAACAACAATTTACGTACGACGCAAGAGCAACATGGACGTGGATAAAGTCTTAAGAGGGCCTCTCCAGAAATTGGTAAAGAGCTGCAAGGAGAGGTAAACCTTGATTTTCAAAACAACTTGAAAGACGGAATGGAGGCTCACCTTGCCAATAACGCAAAACAAAATGTAAAACATATAAAGGAGTAGAAATAGTGGAGAACATTCATTATAGTGCTGATGGACAAAGTTCAAGGAGACTGAGTTTAGAAACTAGACAGAAAGGTTTGTGGGGCTGAAACAGTTGTATCAAGGGCTTTTATACCCAAGTGATCCTGTATGTTCCTTTGTACTTGTTTCTTCAAAGGTGCAACAAAAGGGTACCAGTATCTTAATTTTAGCTTTCGATACGATGATTTTTGTACAAGGTTCTGTCCTTCAAGAGATCCTTGATCAACAGTTGTTTTCAACTTATTGATCCGATTCTTGTACACATCGTCATAATTTTCCCGCCGATCCTGTTGCTAATGGACTCCGATTTATTGAGTTAATGGATGAACACAACTGATTATAACAACAAGTATATCAGTAAGTAATGATTTCTCTTTCACACATACGCCGCGCAGCATGTATCAGTGAGTGATATGTTATAACTATACCAGTAAACCTTTATTTGGATATGTCCGTGAGTGGAGTTGTGGTTGTAACAGCGGGCGCTCACCGATAGATTGCCATGAGCTATTTAAATCTATCCAGTAACCAGAACAAGTTAACAGCAGGTCAAATGGGAGTATCAATCGGAACAATCAAGTTGATGAAGCTTGGTTATATTTATATTTACCTCTTAATAGCTTCTCAGAGGTATCATTTGCTTATTTTTCAGAGATGATTTGATTCCGTGAAGTGAGTTTATTTACCCAACAGGTGTATTTTTGTGGTGCTCCAAATTGCAAATTTATAACACGTAAGGTTTTAGAAAATGTGTACTACATGTATATCAAAGAGAGAACTAATCCAGTTGAGTCCAAAAAAAACAACTTGAGAGCTTTTCACACAGACTTTGTGTCTGAGGTA